GACCTCTGGCCGGAGACTCTGAGTGAGCGGGGGAGCCCAGGCGCGGAGCTTATCGCGCACCATCCGGTACGGGCGTCCCCACGGATCTCTGTCCAGAGTCCCCAGCATCTCTCGGCGGGCCTCCTCCTTGGCCCGCAATATCTCCGCCTTGAGGAGGGCCTTCGCCGCCCTGTATCCCTCGTATAACTCCGCCTCTCTCGCCTCCGCATTAGGAGGACGGATACGGCGCCTGCGGTGCCTAGTGTACTGGCGTCGCGCAGTAGTGTTCGATGCCATAAGATATCTGGATTACATTAGAATTAAAACTAATTCTTAGTAGCAACTACTGAGTGTATTGAGTATTGTCTAACGGAGCCGGACCAATATGCTGCCAAGCATTCTTATCTTCGATATTTGCGAAAAACTATTTGCAAGAACAAAGCACATATTGTAAGAACCAATCCAGCTTTGGCAACATCATTTATGCTTTTTGTAACTTACTTCCCAAAAAGGAGGAGGTTATCAATTCGGCTGTATGTTTTTTTTTGTGTATGTTACGCGATTACTCCGGCGTCTGTGCCCACAGAATTTGCATTTGCGTCTGTGCCCATTCGAATCCGCCCGGATTCGAATCCGCCCGGATTCGAATGATATTTTTTTTTGTTGGAAAGGTTATACTCCTTAGATGGTTCCATTTCTACCAACCACCAACTTACTATCTATCAGTGGATGGGTAACCTATAACTTATAGGCTTATATAACTTATAAGTGTGGGCGAGTCATGCTTCGGCACGAATGGTCCGGCTTGACCAGAGTGATACCTACCACGGCCTCACAGAAAACCGACGTGAAGCAACGCTTGCGATGTGTTTCGTCGTGTGCGTGAAATTATCGGAGGCCCAATTACCCTCCCCCAGCCCCGGATCTAGGGGGGGGCAAGCCGGGGCCTATGCCCCGGGCGGCAAATTCAGGGGGCGGCAAAATCAGGGGACGGCCAAAGTCACACTTCACAGACCAATAGACAACTCATCATTTACCTATTTAACTTTAACTTTGACCACGGAATAAATAATAGCACAAGTGCAGCAATTTCATGGCCATATCAACTTGACCGATACCCTGAGCGCGGAGTGAGACATGCACGAACATTTATTTCGCGAACCGCGTAAGCATAGTTCAAAATACGCGCCCGGCTCCCGCTAGCCCCCAGGAATGCCGCGGAGAACCTAACGGGTAGCCGGGGCTCCGACTCGACGTGCAGGAGAAGGAACTGGGTTGTTTTTAGTCAGTAAGAGTCTGACACTCCCTCCTGCCTCACCCAGGCGGGAGCAGTCATTCGATGATTTTCTCCGCGTAAAAAAAAGCCCCCAGGAATCGCACATCGGGGCAGCACGCGTCTGGTTACCGTGAGTGCGAAAAAGATAAAGCTATATACGAAAACTTGAGAGACACAGGAAGCTGGAAAAACAGGGGAGCACATTTGTCAACAGATTTTAGAAAAATTAGCAGTTGATGATTTAAATATTGGACAATGTCGTGGCCAATCTTATGACAATGGGTCCAATATGGCCAGCATCCATAAAGGAGTACAAGCCAGGATTGCAGAAAAGAATGAACTGGCCGAGTTTGTACCGTGCTTGGCTCACTCCTTAAATCTTGTAGGGGTTCATTCTTCCTCATCATGCCAAGAAGCTATTAACCTATTTGAATTAATTCAAAAAGTATATTGCTTTTTTGTTGGTTCCACTTCTAGGTGGAACATTATGAAAAAATACACAAAAACAAATTTAAAAGGAAGTAGTCAGACGAGATGGTCGTCGAAACACGTTGTTGTAAATGCCCTATTAAATAATTTGCCTGAAATAGCGGGAGCCTTAGAAGAAATTAAGCAAACTTCTCGTGCTCCAGAAGCCAAGTTCGAGGCTGGTCATCTCTTAATAAAAAAATTTACGAATGCACTAGTTGCCCCCTATAATTTTTTAAAAGTTTCCCTCGGTTTCCCTGTTCTTCCACCATCAGATCCATATTTCCTTATCATGGGACCATTCTGGGACTATCTCATTTTCTAATAAAAAAGATTTTCCTAAATCGGTTCATAAATAACGGAGGTATCGGCGAACAAACATAAAAAAGCATATATACGGTCGAATTGAGATCCTCCTCCTTTTTTTGAAGTCGGTTAAAGTAAACATAAGTAGGTAGGTGGGGCGGCATTTTTCAGTTTTTGCCCCGCCTAAAAAAAATTGAAGATCCGGGGCTGCCCTCCCCTTCCCCAATCTCTCCAATTCCTGAATCCCTAATGATCCTCAAACTCCTAATCCCCAAATGGCCGGTAACGCACTTGCAACGCCTCTGGTGTTCCAGGTGTCAATGGGCGACGCCGTTTGCTTACCATCAGGTGATCCGTCTGCTCGTTTACCGACTTATGCCATAAAAAAATAAGTATATATGGTTTAAGACACGACTGGTATTTTTATTCATAAATAGAAGACACACGACGTCTTAACGAGGTCAATAAACTTTTGATAGATTAACATTCACGATACAACATACTTTGTTTTCGTTCTTATAATCAAATCAAAATAAAACTAGATATATTCGTTTTCCTTTACAACTTTATTTAATAAAAATATACCTTATCACAATATTATTGCTTCAAGATTCTTATACGAAATAAAGTAATTATTCATCTAATAAATAACAGAATAATTAAATAATCATGTGGTTTCATAAGAAAACTCAACATTAACTAAATGTCGCGCAGCTCACTGACATTGCCGCGACCGCGCACGCTGATCACGAGGAAGAACCCTTCTGTGGTTTGAAACTAGTAGAGATTTTCTCAATATATATTCACGTGAGTAAGCCGCCATTTTAGTTAATTTAGTATGTCTCACGATAGTTAATAAAAACAAAACTCAACATATTCATTTCTTAGCACATCGATTCTTAGAAACAACTTTTGTTAAAACTTTAAAACATTTGTATTTGTTATAGATTATACAGAATTACGATTATTTGTTGAAACATATTATAGGACTTAGCAAAATATTTTTAGGCGATTCTTAGAAATTTTAAAGTATCTAAAGTATCGTAGGTATATTAAATACAGTTCTTTAGTTTATACAAGTCAAATAAGCCTCGACTTATTTGTACCTACTTAGAATAAACAATGTACAAAATGTGTTAAGATTTTTAAACACTATTTAATCAGTATCGTACTTTGTTTTTCTATAGAGATGAATGGATTCGTCAACTTTTTGATATCTGAGTGACAACCAATCGTGTTAGTTATACCTTTCACAAATCCTACTAATATTATAAATGCGAAAGTTTGTGAGGATGTGTGTGTTTATTTGTTACTCTTTCATATCAAAACGGCTTAAAGCAAACGAAGGGATCGAGATGAAACATTGGAACAGGGCTAGATTATGGTGTGGAATAACACAGGCTACTTTTTATCCCACGGGAACGCGCCAACGCGCGAAGCCGCTTGCAGAAGCTAGTTAGTGATAAACTACATCACGCCTTTTATCCGCGAAGGGGTAGGCAGTAGTGCACATTATGCCACTGTACAATGTAACACCCACTTTTCACTATTTATGTTATGAGTCCTATCTAATAGGGGGTGAGCCTATTGCCATATACCTGCACATCTATCAATAAAATACATAACTAATAAATAGTTTTTATAATTTTTAAATAATATTTTTTCACTTTGGTATATTATTCATATTATATGTCTTATTAAATGAAAATACATACAATAAGAAGCAGACTGTTCTAGAAAAGTTCACTTATGAAGTTATTCAGGCACTTAAACTCTTAATGAATACATAACAGAACTGTGTGGACAAATGATCGAGTTAATGAGATTCATTATTGACTATCACTGAGTATATAACCTTTGTTGATCAGCTCTAATTAAGGAGATAAGGCTTAATGATAGTCTCGACGAACCAAGTGTCGGAGAAACGTAAGTGATCGCCTTCTATTGATATCAGTACCAACTTGCCTTCTTTCTGCATTTTCTTGAAGCCTAGGCGATCCTGGAATATGAGAGAATAGATGGTTAATATTGGATTACACTTCTTATTTCCTAGAGTGATCTCGAAAGATCCATCCCTAGAGCAAAAGTAGGTATTTCTATAGTGTATTTTTTTAAGGGGGGAAAATTATCGAAAGATTACTCCGGCCTGGGTGAGGCGGGAGGGAGTGTCAGACTCTTACTGACTAAAAACCACCCCGTTCCTTCTCCTGAACGTCGAGCCGGAGCCCCGGTAACCCGTTAGGTTCTCCGCGACTTCCATAGTGTATAGGAAGTGATTTAAAGTCAATCAATTACCTAAAATAACAATGGGGAATCTTTATATTTCCTAACCAGACGTGGGAATTACATTCAAGATTTGCATGACCACTTATAGCCATTACTTAAATCACGTATTTCGGTTAGAATGGCTTCTAACTTTCTGATGGTTGATCGAAAATAGTATAAAAGTAATTATACGAAAAGTAGATCGAAAAAGAAAGAGAAGAACAAATAATTTCTTCATTTCAATAGCTGCATAGTTAGTTGACCGGAGAAGAAGAAAAGACGCGATAGAAATCAATTTTTAACATTCTTCCTTCTTCCATGAACATTTCAAGACAAAAATTAGCCAAAGCGCCGTCAGCCGTTCGCGAGTTTTAGCGGGACTAACGAACATAAATTCATGTTTATTTATTTTATCTACGAATGGTAACAAAATCTACAAACCTCCAAATAAATTCTGGTCTCATTTAAAGGCACAATTTTCTTAGCTTGTCCTGGCTCATAGAATCCAAACCATTCCGTTTCCCTCGGTTGCACGATCGTATCATTGTCAAACTTCACCAAGACGAGATGTTCCAAGTTATTGAGGTTTTCTATATACGTCTTGTTCACTCGAATTTCATTGTTGATATCAGCTAAGAAGATGCTCTTGTTTATGTACGCTTCCTCGTCTAAGGGATCGTGCCAGTATGTCGCTTGGACTAAAGTGTCTTGCACCCAGCTGGAATGTTTAGGTTAGAAGTAAAATAAGGATTCTTTAGGCAGACTATGATGTAAGATATCTGCTAATTTTAAACATCAGTAAAGTTGTACTTATTCTATTTTAAGTGTGGGAGAGCCTTGCTTCAGAACTAATGGCCCGGCCCGACCGGAGTGATACCACAGCATCACAGAAAACTGACATGACGAAACGGTTGCGTTCTGTTTCGTCGTGTGACTGAGGTTACCGGAGGCCCAATTACCCCTTTACCTCTTCCCCAATTCCCCCGTCCCTTGAATCCCACGAATCCTCAAATTCCAAATCCCCAAAAGGCCGGTAACGCACTTGTAACGCCTCTGTTGTTCCAGGTGTCCATGGGCGACGCCGATAGCTTACCATCAGGTGATCCGTCTGCTCGTTTACCGGCTTATTGCTTATGGACTGAAAATCACATTATCTAGTTGCAATTTGCCATCGCATGTTAGTGAAAGGAAACAAGAAATACTATGCTTATCGTCAGAAGTCTCTCGCGTTACGCGTAGAAAGCGGAACGTAGTCTATATTATTAATGTATTGCCTACATACAACAATACCAATGATAGCAGTAATCTGGATTTCCGTAACACTAAAGAAGTGGATAACGCATATGTTTGTGTGTGGATTTTCTTCGTTGTGGAACTTATGGACAGTTGTCGTTAAAAATTCTAATTGAATTGAAAAACAAATTGAATTGTAACTATTAAGGGGTTTCCGAAATAGGAAACGAAACTGCCACAAAATAATATTATTTTAAATAGGTACATATGTTCTAAATTCCTACTCTCTGTAACTAAAGCTAGGATCTGCAGTAGAAATCAACCAAAAAACAACAAAACCCTGAGAATCATCATCATCAACAGCCTATAAATGCCCACTGCTGAGCAAAGCCTCTTCTCACACGGAGAAGGTTTGAGCATTAATAACCACGCACGCTCAATACGGGTTGGCGATTTCAAACTTACAATTAGAAATTATAAGTCCAGGTTTCCTCACGATGTTTTTCCTTCGCCTTTTGTCAGTGATGTCCAAATAATCTTAGAAAGTACATATAACTCGGAAAAAGTCACATTGGTACTCGCCGTTGGTAGGTTTCGAAGCCGCACCCTCATGCATGAGAAGCGGGCGTCTTAAACCTCCGGACCACCACGACACCTGAGAATGTCGAACGTCTATTCTGGTAGGATTTCCACATAGGTAGTTGTTCAGTTTAGAAATGTTCCTACTTGACCTAAAAGTGGCTAAGGCTTTATTCACATATTGCACAATACTACCTGTATGTCTTGTCGATTTAACCAAGTATAATTTATTCAAGTGCGTTCATAAGGATACTCAAGCAGTATTGCATTAAAATTGACCTTCACATATTCCGCTCCTTATAAGCGACGGATGAGTACTTTGTCGGTACAACGCGCAATGCATACAAAACTGGTAATACACTTGCAATTACGTACAAAGCAAGACCCTTTTAGAACCTTCCAGAATAATATTATCAAGTTAATAAGTTCTGGATATTTTTTACTGAATATAAATGAGTAGACGGATCACGTGATGGTAATCGGCGGTGCCTGTGGACACCAAAGGCGTTACAAGTACGTTGGAGGCCTTTTGGGACGATTGTGCATTTGGCAACTGATCATTCATAGGGCGAAATTTAACGCAAGCGTTGATTCACGCCGGCTTTCTATCACTTCGATCGAGAGGGCTATTCATGGTACATATTTCTGTTATTAAGGTGATGTTATCAATATCACCAATTATTTTTATTATTTGTTTGATGCGGCAGTAAGCATTGTTAATTTAACTTGAATAACGAATTCAATTCGAAAAAGACAAAACAATGATTTGAAGATCCTGGGGACCGGAAATAATAGTTTATTATTGTTTATTGGCGACGATATTATGCCATGACGTATGAAGTGAATTCAGTACCTATAGATTTAAGTTCTAAGCACTAATTTGTTTTCAGCGTCAAACAAACTGGACGACCAATCGCCTTAGTATTTTTTTTTAAAAGAGATAATACTCCAAACTGCCTGGCTCAAGATCGCAAGTGCGACTGCCGGACAAGGGGTATCGGGATCGTTTCCCGGGTCTGGCATTAAAGTATTAAAAAATCTCATAGTAGCACGGAATTTGGAAATATGCCCGGATAGAAACCTTGGCTATTAAAGTACCTATTATGATAAATAATATACCTGTCGTAAGCAGCGTAGTTGAGTAGTTGTCTGATGTAGTCGCAGGTAGGATACATGAGAGCTCCACAATGAGGGAGACCATAAACTCCTTGGTGCTGACCTCCAAGAGTTATCAGATTCTTAATCGGAGGCAGAATGTGGCCGCAACGTTGGACTACTGCTCGCCTAAAAAAATACTTACTTAGTAAAAATTCTTAAGTACTAAATACGAAATCTTACTAAATCCACTCGTAATAGTCTCGAGCACCCTATGCAGCCATAGCATGACAATAATGTGATTGCCATATAAAATATCCCTATACTAAACTTTGGTACTAAATATTAAGTCCATTATTTTAAAAAATTAACACTTTTTATATTTTAATTTCTTTTTAATCATTGTCCCACACTATTATTGTCTCCTGTGTCGTGGGTGCGTTTATAAACATACAAGTTCACATACACAATGACACCCAGACCCGAAACAACAATTTGTGGATCACACAAAGAGCTGCTCCGTGCGGGAATCGAACCCGCGACACGTTGCGCGGCAGACAGTAGCCCTGCCAACCGTGCAGTCAAAAATTTATCTCAATGTCAATTAATTGTTTGTTTCCACAGCTGATTTAACTGTTTAAATTACTACAACACAATTTATCTAAAATGATAAACTCCAAAGTCTCTAAATAAGTAAATCGTAAATAAACAAATATGTATATAAAAACAAAATCTTACAGAAACTGGCTTCCTTGAGAGAAGCCGATGGCATTGAACCCATCTTTCAGTTCGGGGTCCGAAGCTAACTGCTCACACACATAATCAACCTGCTTGTTTGGATTCATAAAGTACCCATTCTCGAAATCCTCTACAGTGGAATTGCCAATCCTTAGAGAATTGACATAGACACCAGGAATTTTTTTTTCTAAAAATAGTTTTATACCACCTAGACTGAAGCTTACACAGCATGTGTCTCCTGCAAAGAAAAAATGCTGTATTGTGGTATTTTTAATTATAAATTAAATTCCCTAATCTTACTTACTGTAAAATGGAATGGTTTAGGATAAAAAAGAAGTAAACTTTTATATGTAGGTACATATAAAAGTTTACTTCTATAATAAATATTTGTTTCCAATAAAACTTAAAAAAATCATTTAATTTAGTAAATAACTAAGAACTAAAAATACATTTATTTATTTATTTCACTTGTATTACTTAAGTTTGCAGCAAGATTGCATTATTTACATTCAAATATTACTTAATATTCAATGAAAAAGTATATTATAAACCTACTAAATATAAATAAACAAATGAATAAATATTTAGCTACATACATTTAAAGTATTTCAAATTAATTGTCATAACCATGCAGTGTGGACCTAATTTCCTGTTGATGAAGAACATCAAGGAAGTTTATATTATTTAATATTTCAATGTAATTATTTAATAAAGGGATTCAGAGACAAACCTAAGGTGAAGAGGGTCAGAGAACCAACTGATAATGCTGTTATTCCTTATCAGAATATACAGCAATCAGAGACTCAAGTTACAATAACAGTAACTATTTATTATCTTTAAAAAGTTTTTATTCTACTCTGTTAGCTATTAGAATCCTTGTTTTTTTTTTAAATTAATTATTTAATTCATAAGGGTGATATTTCTGTCAGTAGATCATATTTCTGTCAGGATGTTCTTTTGAAAAGCGAAGTCAAAACAATATTGAAACAGTAGCGCGATGCTATGAATTTTAATTAGGTAAGTAGGTACTTACAGTAGCTTATTACTTAATTATGAATATCCTTTACCTACCTAGCCTTTACCTATTAAGTGGTTATTATTAAAGTATGTACCAGAATGAATTGTAGGCTTTTAATTTCATTTGGTAATATATCTTTTCTTAAAATTTAATATTAATTAAATAAAAACAGATCTAATAACTCACCCATTCCATGCCACAAAACAATCGATGTCGGCTTTGCAGAAATTAATTTTATTACGAAAAGTAATATAATAAGCGTCTTCATTTTGATTTATGAGCTTTCCAAATACCCCGTGTGTGTATCACTGCGACAAAACGTTCGAAATAACAATGAAAAGACGTTCGGGAGATAAGTCGCGAGATGCGACTATAACATGTAAACAAACAAATGTCAATTGTTAAAACGTCAAAATACTGTCAAGCACTAACGAAATGTCATTGTGAATCAATCGTCAATCGCAAAATGATTGAGTCGTTTTTATCAATCGTAATTTAGTACAAAACTAGCGCTAAGTACAGCATGAAAAAATTACATTTTATAATTATGTGTTTTAGATGCGTATTTTGTGTAAATTCACTAGATGGCACCACTCGTTAATCAACTACCTATGTGGTTGTGAAGCTCATCAGTCGTAGCCATAGCCGTAGCGCAATGTTACTTATTAGATTAAACTTTTCAATAGATGGCACTAGTAGTTTTAGATCATATTTTTCATTTTCTATGAATTAAATAATTTGTTAGGTATTTCACATTTTTATTTTATGTAAATCAAAAACATTTTTTGCAGTATTTACTTTTAATTATAATATATTGAAGAAGTTAAGTACCTAGATAGTTATAGTTATTTGATGTTCCCTGCTGATCATAGGACATGATTCTAGTTAGGATAATGAAGCTAGATAGATAAGCTAAATACAGCATCAGGTCAAGGTCATCATTGTAATCTAAATGTTTTATCGAAATATTGTGTCATCGGGACTCGCTATCATTATTATGTCTATTTTATTTACGATTGCACAACTAAACGTGTACGATCTGTATTTACCAGTATTTACATTAGACTGTAGATTGTACAGATATTTATCAAAGATAGTAAACTTTTCCATAAATTACTCGCATTGTCTTTTTTATGACGTCATTCTGTTGTTTGTGGAAACTAATTACGATGTGCTTACACCCCCTCGTTTCCCGCCAGAAATCAAATTAAGGTGATTGTACTGTCGTGTCACCATAAATTGCAATAGATTTACAGCTATCTAATAGGTGAAGTATGTTATGTAGGTACAAATTTCACAAAATTGTACCTTATTACATCCGATATTTTACCGTCTAAAACGGTACCTAGGTCTGAAGTTCTGAACTGTGTATGTTCTTCTCCCGAGTCCCCAAGCGGTCACCGGTGACCGCTCTCCACTTGCTCCATTAAGACATTATTTCCGTGGATAAGATACCAATTTTGTATGAACAAATGTTGTGGATTTTTGGTAATCGTGGATTAAGAAGTTAAAATATATTACCACCACCAAGCGCTATCTCTTAGATATTAAGCATAATGCTTGATCCGTTAACTAATGGAACTTAAGAGGACAACAGTTCGTTCGACAGTTACACTTGCGACCAACGAGGAGTCTGCATAAGTCTGGTACATAACTAAGGACAGTGCTTACTTTACAGTTTATTTTTGTACGTAGGCATTACCTATACAGTGTGGTCGACAGGGGATTTTTTCACATATCATCATTTAGACATCTAGGCATTTAAGCACATTCAAATCCTTAGTAGTTTACATATGTACCTGTTATTAGAATGTCTAATATTAGCCAGTTGGCTCGCCATCATCATCACTATAAATAAGTTTAGAGAAAAAAAAACAACGTTAGTTCAAATTGCTTTTGTTTATTGACATTCATCACTGTTCATTATGTAATAAATAACAATGTTATAGATATTTTAACTGCTACTTATCACATTCGTTAGTTTGAAGGCATTGAGTAGAGACAGACTACTCTGACATCATTTCTAAAAGTAAACTAAACATTACTTATTTACTTACAAAGTTTCATCCTATACGATACTCTTTTGGTCCAAAGATAATGAAGTATTAACATTTTTAATCTATATTTTCGTATTGTCAATTCCCACAGACTAAAAATTAAAAAGATTAACAGAATAGTGCTGTGCTAAACATGAATCATTACGATTTTTTATCAAACGAACAATCTTTGCTTAAAATATTTGCGATTCTAATTTCTCGTTTGCTCTTTGTCTTAGTATTAAAGTAAATAGTACATATTTACGCATTTGTCACAATTTTCCACTGTCAGAACCAGAATAAAGTTAAATAAAGATTTCGTATGTTTAATTGAAATGTAAATTACACTGAACTGTTATCATTGTGAGGTGTTTCAAAAACCTTCTAGTCTAGAACAAACTTCGTTTAACCTAATGCTCTCATTCATTGTGCGTCGTCGGAAAAATACAACATAGATCTAGAAATACTACAGACTACGTTTTCTTATAAACTATTCTGTAGATATTATGGCCACAATTAAAACTTTGGCTCTAAAAGGTACTTTCGAGTCTCTTCACAAGAGGAAACGGGATAAAAGTCAGTAATTTTGTGATGTTCATCGTATACATTACATTATTCTTATATTTCTTAGTTGTCGAAACATAGTAAGTAACGATATGTTTGTTTTCCCTTAGATAGATACCTACCTATTTTTCATTATTGAAAAATCATTTGCAATCTCTGTTACTTAGGTAGGAAATAATTAAAATTTCAACACATTGAAAAAAATACATTTCGTCAGAATTTACACTTTGCGACAAAAATATATATAGGTAGATGCATCAATGTCTATTCGTGATTGTTTTTTTTAAATTTTCATTCTCACGTAGACACTGGCACAAATCGATAATGAGAAGATCAACTTAAAATTAGTAATTACAACTAAATAGTTATCAATACCGTTAACCTACTTCATCACAGTCTCATAAAGGAAATCACAAAAGTCTGTTACTCAGCTGAATCACGTTGGGAAAAACATCTTTGGGACCGTCTAATTATCCAATAAAATTAACAAATTATGCGCATAACAACCTTCGAACGTGAATGATCTACGTGTTTTCTGACATATTTAATATAACACTGAAATATTAAATAACATATTTGCATTAAAACTATCAATCACAATATTCTCCAGTTCCTTCTGAATATGAAAACGTCCCATTGAAATCTGATTTTTCCTTTGAAACCCGACGTGATTCCGATCTAGTCGACAACTAGATTGTACAGCCTCATTGAATAATTAAAATCAGATCTCTGACTGCATTACAGGATTCTCATGGAGTCTGTATGTTTTAAGATGTTTTGTCCTAGACTTCGGATTTTCTTAGGGGACTCGAAGTAGTCGCTCGAGTCTGAAGATTCCAGTTGTCTATGTCTATGGTTCCTGATCCTCCTGGCTCTTGTGTCAGAGTCATACATTAGTGTTTGTGTGCTTCCTTTCCTGGACCTGAATGGGATTCTATACGGTGTGCTGCTCTGGACGTCTGACATTGATCTGATGTGTCTTCTGTATTTGGACTCCTTTGTGAGCGGTGAGAATGTGATGACCATGTTCTCTGGCTTCGGCTCTGGGGATCTGGAAAGATAGAAAAGTTTCTTTAAGTCAATATTTCATGAGACAGACGTGACGTAGGAGTTCGTAAATTGCATCAGTCATGAGTGTAATAAGATAACAATATTTACATGGAATTTGTTTGATAACACGTGACGAGAATATTTATTGAGTGATACTAGAATATCTACTATTCATTCGTAATGCCTATTAATAGTGATAATTATCATTGTAATTGCACAATTTCTCAAATATTTTATCAATTTATACTACGTCAGTAGGTATCTTTGTTGCTCTCTCGTGTTGTAATTAATGTTATGTCATTATTTAAAGTTTGACGTCTGCGCCTAGAACTACTAGAATGAAAATAAATTAATTTATTGCTGGGAGAGTAATATACAATCTAGAACTATGTATGTTCGTTGATTTGTCTATGAAGGCGCCTACTCAATATTAAACTTTGGTCACCAGACTGTCCAGCGACTCAGTTACTTATCTAATCAGATGGACAAAAATAAACTAAAACCTTAAAAAATACTTATACGTAAATACCTTAACTAGTAAATATTCCAACCAGGTACCTATTCTATTGAGAGAATCTACTATTGCCTAGACATTTAGAGAAAAATTTACCTTTGTCTACTTTATAATATCTTCGTCAATCTTCGTCTACCTTCGTATTAATACACAATAAATAAATATCATTGACAAATAAACTAAAACCGCTATACCAGGTAAATAAAAGTTTATTAGTTAATGTAAAAACATTGAAGTAAAGATAGTTTAACTCGTCGAGTACCGGTTTTGCAGACACAATTATAGAACAATAGGTTGCGGTCACCGGTGACCGCTTGGTATTTGACAGTTTAAATCAGTAATTTCGCCAATGTAGCACACTGGCATACACGACCTCGCCAATTGATCGTTCTTTTACGATTCTGCTAGATTTTTTGACCTTTGACATTTCATTCTGAGTTTAATGACAGCGATTCCACGTAGCTAAGGTTCTAGTTGGAATCGGCAACAATCTGATATATTAAGTTAATGACATAGGTCAGTCTAAATGTTTGAAAGCATTCACCTGTTACTGGTAATCACAGTAAAAATCTGATACCCTTGCATGATTATTATTTCGTATCTAATTTTGTATCTAGGAATTTATTTCGCATTTATTAGTGTTTACAGTCCGGTAAACTATATTTCGTCCTTGGTGCAAATCATTAGATTTGTTGAGACGACTTGTCCCACTTGGCAAAGAGTAGCTTCAAGGGACAGCAGGCGAAACCGTTGGCAGAAGCTAGTAGGTACTATATAAACAGAGAATAAAGAAATCGTTAAAAAGACATTAATAATTTACTTGATAACACAGCTGTAACAAATCAAGTAGCATTCACTCTAACTGAACACAAACTCGACATTGCAATATGAACCTTAGTAACAGAAGACGCAACAAGATTTGCAACCTTTACACAATAGACTTATTGCTTGTTTTAAATTGTCACACGTTTGTATTTACAGTTGCTATTACAATGACACGGTGGACAAACAATGCTGGACAACTAATCATTTAATCAATACAGTGTGCCGTAAGCCTAGGTTGGTGGATGTCATAACTTTGTTCCTAGGTATAAACTGTATGAACTTGAATAGAGATAGTTTCAGGAGTATGGCAAAGATAATGAGAGCATAAAATTAACACAAATCTAAACCTTACATAATTAAAATGAATGTCAAAAATATACAACAATTCAAAGATTTTGCAT